GTGCCCTGACCTCAGGACACTGTTCCTGGTTCTCCTCCAACTCCACTGCTCAGTGTTTTCAGTCAGCTCCACTGGTTCCTCCTCAGTCCCCCAAACTCCTGGCGCAGTATCCAGACCACAGGCACCTGCACTGCACTCGCGCCTCCTCGGCGTCACTGCTTTCCTCCTCTGCTGCGTGCTAACTGCTCCCCGATCGCCCGCCTGGGCCTCTGATCTCGAGTCCAGGCATGACGATCTGACCGCTCTCCTGGCCTCTCTCCTTGGATGTCTGGGAATCACCACAATCTCAGGGGAATCCAATTCTTCCTCCCTGTAGTCATTCCCATGTCTGTTAATGATCATTTCACTTTTCTAGTTACTTAGGACAGAAACCTTTGAGTTCTTCTGTATTTCTCTATTTTTCTCACACAGCTAACCCTATTATCTCTAGCATCAACACATACTTAGGACACGACCCAGTCTGACCACCTTCCTACTCAGGACCATCGTTATCCCCAGCCTCGGTCACAGCAGCAGTCCCCTGCCTCTTCTCCTTGCTCTGCTCTCGCCCTTCTTCAGTCTGGCGCTCAGTATAACAGCCGGCGTAATCTGTTAGACCTACTCGGATCGTGCCACTTCCTGCTAAACCTTCCAAAGCCTTCCACTCTCAGAGTGAAGCCCAAATTATCCTCTGGTTTCTAGGCCCTGGCTCCCCAATGGCCCTCCGATCTTCTCTCCCACACTGGCCTTCAAGTTTACTCCTCCCTAGCACAGCATGTATGTCACTATTCCCTGCACGTCATGTACTATCCTGTCTTAGAAACTTTGTACTTGTGGTTTTCTCTCCCTACATCATTCTTTCTTCCAGGTATCAAGATTCTTTGAATTTTCAAGGTTTTTTCTCAAATGTCTCCTTTTCAGTGATATGTCCTTGACCACTTCATTCAAAAGTGTCTCTCATCCAAACCATTCCTCTGTCCCCTTCCTTTCATTTTCTTCTCCACGTCACTTATCAAAATCTAATTTACTGCCTGTCTTTCCCATGAGAACATCAGTTTCAAAAAGGCAGAATTTTTTTGTTTTGTTCACTGCTATACCTTCAGCACTCAGAACCATGCCAAACTTAAGCTGTCAACTGTTCACTTACAACTTTCAACATGAAGACAAGCCACCAGTGAAGAGTGTAAAAAGTATTACACAGTTTAGGAGATACCTGGGTGACTAGCCTTTTAACATTGGGCAGGTGACTGAATTTGTACAGGTCACAGTTGACACATGATTTTATTTATTTATTTTGGTACTGGAGAGCTAACTCAGGACTTTGTGCTTGCAAGGCAAGCAGTGGCACCACTGAGCTAAATCCCTGGCCCCTGACACATGATTTTAAATTGTGGTATACTGACTTATTGTTTTTTTTTGAGACAGGTCTCACTACGTAACCGAGGCTGCCCTCATGTTTGCTATATAGTCCAGACTAGCCTTGAACTTGTGATCCTTCTGCCTCAACCCCCTGAGTGCTGGGATTACAGGCGTGTGCCACCATGCCCAGTGGGAAAAACCCTAAATTTACTACGTGTTTCAGGCACTGATTTGGTAGATGTTTTTATGTAATTCTCAGTTAATCTGTGGAACCATTTTATAGTTGGAAAAAAGTTCAGATGCTTACTACAAAGCTACAGTAATCAAAACAGGGTGGCACTAGCATAAAGACAGACATGCAAAACAATTCTATCCCCAAACAATGGGATAGAATCAGGATCCCAGAACCATGATATATGATAAAGTGATTTTTGACACGAGTACTAAAACCATTCAATGGGAAAGGGCAGATTTTTTCAGCAAATGGTCCTGGGAAAAACTGATATCCACCTACAAAAGAATGAAGCTGACCCTTCTACCATTTATAAACATTAACTCAGAGCTGTGGTGTAGCACAGCAGTAGAGTGCATGTTCAGCATGGGCAAACCTCTTGGTTCAATCCCTAGCACAAAAGAAGGGAGAAAAATGCAAAGTGGATCAAAGATCTATCCTAAGACCTAAAAACCATAAAACTCTTAGAAGAAAAATAGAGGAAAAGTTTCATGACACTGGGTCTGGCAATGACTACTTAGCCATGACACCAAAATCACAGGTAATAAATGGAAAAGTATATGAAATAGGCTACCAAAATAAAAAAAAAATCTGTGATTTGAAGAGCATAATATAGAGTGAAAAGGAAACCAACAAATGGGAGAAAACCGTATGTTTGATACAGGGTTAATATCCAGAATATATAAAAAATCTTATGACTCAACAATTCACAAAACCACAACCTGATTCCAAAGTGGACAAAGGACTTAATGAGCAGATGCACCTCCAAAAAGACACAACAGCCAATAAGCACACAAAAAGACACTCAAGGTCACTAATCATTAAGGAAATGCAAATCAAAACCACAAAGAGCTGTAACACCTCAGACCCATCAAGATGGCTACTATTTTAAAAAAGAGCAGGGCATGATGGTGCACACCTATAATCTCAGCATTGGGAGGCTGAGGCAGGAGAACCATTTGAGAGTTTTAGGCCAGCCTCCGCTACATAGTGAGACCCTGTCTCAAAAAAATATTGGATAGGATATGGGAAATTAGAATCTTTGTGCACTGCTGGTGGAAGTACAAAATGACGCAGCCACTATGGTAAACAGTATAGGTAGTTTCTCGAAAAACTAAAAAGAGAATTGGCGTATCAGTTCTATTTCTGAATGTATATCACAAAGACTTGAAAGCAGGGTCTCAGAGAGATATCTGTATGTCCATGCTCATAGATGAAAGTAACTCGAGTGCCAACTGATGGTTGATGGACACCTGAGTTGTTGCTAATATGGTGCAGGCATCAATGGAGTATTATTCAGCCTTAACAAGGAGGGAAAACCTGACACATTCAACATCACAAATACACCCTGAAGACATTGTGCTAAGTGAAACAGCTCCTCACGAAAGGACAAATACCATATGGCTCCACTCACATAAAGTACACAGAATAATCAATTCATAGAGACAGGAAGGAGAATTGTGCTTGCCAGGAACTAGGGGAAGAGGGATAGGGAGTTACTGTTTATTGGGTACCATTTCATTTTTGCAAGATGCAAACACTTGCAGAGAGGGGTGATGGTCATGACTGCAAACCAATAGAACATACTTAATGGACTAAGCCGTATACTTTAAAATGGATAAGATGGAATTCTACCACAATGCTTTAAAAACTACTGTAAGAGAATTATAAGACAAGCCAAAGACTGAAAGAAAGTATCTGCAAGTTTATCCAACAAAGGACTTGTGTCCACTACATGGAAAGAAATCTTAAAATAACTTGCTGATAAATAAATAAATAAATAAATAACCCACTGAAATTTGGGCAAAGAATCTCAACAGATATTTCACCAAAAGCTATTCAGATAACAAAGAACCATATGAAAAGGTGCTCAATATCACAACTCATCAGGGAAATACAAATTAAAGCTACAATGAGCTACCAGTGCACCCTAAAATATAAAAGACAAAAACATGTCAAGTTTTAGCAAAGTAGGGAAAAACGGAACTCTCATAAGCTGCTAATAGGAGTAAAAAATGGTACAACCACTTTGAAAAAGTTTTGTCAGTTTCTTTAAAAGTGAAAGATTCAGGGACCGGGGATTTAGCTCAGTGGTTCCGACTCCTGCCGCACAAGCACAAGGTCCCGAGTTCGATCCTCAGTACAAAAAAAAAAAAAAAAAAAAGTGAAAGATTCAAATACCATTTGATCTAGCCATTCCACTCAAGGTATTTACTTAATCAAGAGAAATGAAAGCATATGTCTGCTCAAACACTTTAACACAAATGTTCACAGCAGCTTAATTTGCAATAGCCAAAAACTGGAAACAACCCAAATGATCACCAATAGGTAAACAGGTAAACCAACTGGTATATGCATATAGCAGACGACTACTCAACAATAAAAAAAGAAGAAGAAACTACTAACAGGTACAAGATGGGTAAATCTCAAAATAGTGATTTTTTTAAGCATTTTTATTAGTATATGTTTGTGCTACACAAAGAATATATTCATTGTGGGGTACTGGTATATATACATATTATATCTTGATCCTCCTTACCTCCCCTTCCACTTCCCCTCCAAAAAGCCACGCCAAAAATGAGTACATATCTGTCTTATAAGACTATATAGGGGCCCAGGATTTAGCTCAGTGGTTCCAGCACCTGCCTTGCAAGCGCAAGGTCCCAAGTTCGATCCCCGGTACCAAAAAAAAAAAGACTATATATTTTGCCTATGTGCAGTTTATTATATGCCAATTATGCATTAATAATGCTGTTAAAAAAATAAAATGATCTCTGTATCCAAGGAACTCAGAATCCACTATAAATCTTGTCTCTGAAGCAGAGGATACTAATTACTCTGATAAGCAAAGAAAGGAAAATCTGAAAAAGTAGACATACACAAAAAAGGCAAACAATACCTCCTGATATCTACTAAATTTCCTTAAAGGTATAGTATGTATTTTATTCTTACTGAATACTTTTTCTTGGATACAGGGTCTCCCTCCGTAGTTCAGGCTGGCCTTGGACTCACTATGTAGCCCACACCTCAAACTCATGGCAATACTCCTGCCTCCACCTTCCAAGTGCTGAGATCACAGGTATGCAGCACCACACCTGGCCCTAAAAATACTTCTTTATTTCAACTTAATGCTTTGTTTATAAAAGGGATTTACATAATTTAAAATTCACAAAGAACCCACCCCATCCACCAGCCAATAAGTGCTCTTCCTCAAAGGTTACCAATGTTATCAGTTTAATATACTAAATTTGTATTTGGAACACTAATTTAAATTTGACAAAAAACTACAAAAACAATTCTAGCGCATAAAAATAATTTTCAAATTACTGACAAGAACCAAAGCTTTACACAAACTAGTTTACATGGATAAGTCTGAAATAGCCAGAAAAAAATTTTTTTATACTTTTGAATGTTGAATAAAAATACATACCTGAAGCAAACCATATTTAGTCTCTACATCATAAAGTTTATAATCCTTAATGTCTGGAGGTAGAGAGGAAGGTAGATTTTCCCAGTTACCAAGAACGTTGGCTAAACTTGCAAAAACTGGTTCTGTACAAAATGCCAAGCAATCCCTGTTTTAAAAAAATAAGTCATTACTATCATTTTTATACATAATCAAAATCAAATATACATAAAATATCCAGAGGCCTTATTACACTATCAATAAGCTAGACTTTTAAAATTTGTAAATTTCAGCATAATATACTCCAACCAACAAAGTCAGGAGAATAAGAATCATAAAAAGACAAATAGCCCAATCTTTTTAAACTAACTGTTGTCACAATTTTTATATACTTTTTTAAACTTACAAAGTCAGGATATAAAATGTTTCAACTGTGCTTTCTCAGATGACTGACAGTCTCGATGAGAAACCAAAGAATGGGTATAAGATAGGGTTAAAGTACACCTTTGATCTCCTTCCTGCTAAGGCTTTGTTTTCAGAATATCCTCAAAGAAACTTGCAGATTATTTCCTACAGATGCTTCATGAGGAACAAGAGGCAAAGGAAATTCTCCACATTCCTCAATTATTGCTTCAATCAAAGCATCTTTGCTTTATTTTATGTATCATTTTGAAAGGTATAAGTGTTTTATTTTTAATTACTCCTTTTCAATTAACAAATTCACAAAATGTTAGATACTGATTTTCAATAGAAATACACTGTACTGATCTGATCAGAGCTCAGGCTCTGAAGACAGACAGATACCTGACTTCTGGTCCCAGTATTTCTGTTCCCTGGCTTGGTGACATTTTGCCCATTTGTAAAATGGTGATAACAGATACACTGTGAAGGGTTACTATGAAGATCAAATTAGATAATCGTGTAAAGTACACAGCAAAGTATCTAGTGTGCGTGCTCAACAGTGCTTTCCGTTGCTATATTAGCAAGCATTCAAGCCTTAAGCCCTATCTAACATTTTAGGACTGGCACTTTGGGCTCTGGCACTAAACCAAACCAAGTTTCTTGCCAGGATAGTAACAAATATTCACTCTGTTGTTTCATAAGTCTGGAATGCTTTACCAACTTTCCTTCTGCCTTGAACCCATTTTTCAAATGCAGAAGCTTGATGTGTATGAGAAAGACAGTGTCACTTGGACTGAAGGAGGGAAAGGGTCATATTGTACGAAGGTCACTATCTTGTTCGGTACTCTCAGCATTCAGCTCCTTAACACAGTGGATACTAGACATTCTTTTCTTGAACTACTGAAGGGAAAGTTGCTCATATACTTTCCCCCAGGACTCATGTATTTTAGCAACTATTATTCTGTTCCACTCCATCTTGACCCAAAAATCATCTTTGGTCACATCAAAATCCATATGATTATGCTTCAAGCTCTAAGGCCTTATGCTCTTGCATGAATATTCATTCCCATTATCATTATGGTAATACAGCAGAAGTGCTATATCCTTTCAAGAACCACTGCCTTGAATCATAGCTTCCTTCCTTTCTTTGCCCAAACCCCCTCAACAATAAACATTTGCTATCCTTTACTAGGCAAATGACCACTAGTTTTCTTTTACTGTCACAAACTACAAACACTATAACCTTGCTGTCTTTATTTTTCAACATTCAAAACATTTATTCATAGTCTTCTTATTTAATTCCTTATTCTATCACCCCCTTAACCCACTGCTTACCTAGTAGCTACTTTCCACTTCAAAAAAAAGTACAGTTCATTTAACATGAATGAATGGCCTCATTTGTGCTAGAATTCATCTCACTATTTTACTAATTCTTCAACCATCCTCCTTTCAGTTCCTCCTACAGGACTTTACTCACATGTCTTCCCTGCTGGGCTCCTTCACATTTTCTAGTTTCAAACTGTCATCCTACTAAAATGATCAAATGTCACTAACAACTTCTCACTAGCCAAAGGTGATGGATTCTTCTCAGCCCTTATTTCCTTTTTATTCTGTCATCCTTAGTGTTAGTGGGTCCTTTCCTACCTCCTTCGGCTTTCATGACATGCTGCCAAGTTTTCAACCGCCACACGACCATCACCACTCCTTTCTCTTTCCCCGGCATTCCCACCACCACCACCACCATCCTATGTTTCAAGGTTTTCTTCCATGTGCTGTCCTTTTCACCCAGGTCTTGAAAAATTCATTTTTATTCTTGGTTTCAATTATAGCCTCTATGCTCTACCCATACCCAGTACCAACTCTGAACTTTCATTTGAATTACTCTCAGATTTCCTTTGGGTAATTCCAGCACCATCTCAATATTAATTCTTTGTATAGACAATTTTGGGGGGGGGTACTGGGGATTGAACTCGGGTCCTTGTGCTTGTGAGGCAGGCAGCAGAACCACTGAGCTAAATCCCCGGCCCTTCAATATTAATTCTTTAGAAACCGAAAGTTATTTTCCCTTTCCCAAAGTGTCCCAATTTACTGTATATTAATGCTGCCATAATTTTTACACACTAACAATTAAGAATTCATAGTCTCTGAGTTGTCCCTGTTCCTGATCACCAATAAATTCCTAGTTCTATGATGTTTAAATCACTATAAAAGAAGCTGCAGGGACAAAGTGTAACACTTTGGTTCTTCTCCCTTAAGAAATTTAAAATGTAATTATGAGGTATGAGACATGGAGGTGTAAGTTAAAATAATAGGGTTATTTTTACAATAAGAGACATGGGAACATATTTCTGAGCAAGCACAGCATGGAAGAGTTAAGGAAAAAAAATGGGCTCAGCAATCAGGCTGATGAATAATTCCACTCTGCCACTTAATACCATACAGTTTATCTCTAGTCTATATAATTCTGAGACTTAAATGAACTAAACAATATAAAGCATTAGCATTAGTTTCTCATATGGCAAGTGTTTGTATTTTTTGTTTTAGATTGATAAAAAGAAGGGAGGGGGGATTACTGAAGATTCCAAAGAATTTTTCAGAAACCCAAAACACAAAATAGATAAAAGCAAAGCTATCCTGGCTGAAGGGAGATGGAAGCATGGAATCCACCAGCTGTGTCCTCCCATTGCCTGTTCCTCCTCATCATTAAAACCCTAAGGACCACAGAACACAAAAGGCAAACCACTTCATTACGATCTTCCAAACTGAGAGGGGAATACAATCTGCTAAGGAAGAAGAAATAAACTGGATGTTATAAATAATGCAGAAACGGTTTACAAAGCTATGAAAGCACCACAAACTCGACAGCCTGGTGAAAATTACATAAATCTTCACTTTCTGGTCATTCTCAGCAACATTTCCCAAACTCATCTTTAAGAAAAATACATGGCAAACTAACCGAGGGCTATGGACCAAAATGCTGATTAGAGGTGAAGGTTAAAATTATCTAAAACGGCACTTGCTACACACACAAAATTGGTCCTCAAATAGTGAATCGATAAAAAAGAGAAGAGAAATTCTAGCAAATTAGCAAAGACAGTTACTTTCAGGCAGCAACTACAGCCCATCCTTCCCTTACGTTTTCCATTGTGACTACTCCAGTGCTGGCAGAGTAGCAGGACTCAAATACAGACCGTGGCAAGTGAGAACAAAGTCTTCATGATATTTCCAAACCAACATCTACATGGACAATGCAAAGAAATCTTAAGGAAATAATCCCCTAGAACTCACCTCTTAGTTTATAGGAATTTTTCACTGATGATATTTGAAATAGACTTCAAATATAAAGTTATTTTTCATTCAAGAAGTCCTATATAGGTTTTATAAAACTTTACCTTGATTCTTCTAAAGGGTGCTGTACAGTAAGAAGTCGAGGGTGTCGTAGCCGCGTTAACTGCTGGACTCCTCGTTTTAGGGAATCGATTATTTGATCCTTTTCAAATTTTTGATATTTGTCAATCAGCTTTTTATCAAAGACAAAAACAGCCACTTCCTGACAAAAGAATTATGTCACTTATTTTAATCAAGAAATGTATAAAAGTAATAAATATTTTATTTCCATGTCACAACGTTCTTACACAACTAAAAACTAATGTCATGGAAATTTTATCACCACTGTAATATTCTTTTGATCAAAGATTTCCTTATGATTAGTAAATCTAAATATTTTTAAAGATATAAGACCCAGCATCTCCACAGGAAAAAACCCCCAACTTTGAATTATGGTATCCAACATACACATAAACTGGATGCTACAAAGTTTCTCCTATGTAATAATCTCTTATTTAACCAGAATTCAAACAAAAAATGTTTAAAATGTAAACATTACGTACTACAAATGTATAAAAAGAGAGAGAAGGGAAAGGGGAGGGGGAGGAAGGGGATGAAAAAAAGAACGAAGATGTGTTGTGTATGTGAGCCAGCTCCACACAAGGAATGTGAACACTATGTACTACACACATGTACTAATAAATTAAAATAGGAAGAAAAATGTTTAAAGTCAAAATGTTGCCTCATAATGATACGCCTGGAGTATACTATAAAATCATGAAAAGCCTTTTGAAAGGCTGTATGTCAACGAGTGCTAGCAGCTTTGACATAGGAATAAGCTATACTCTCCGTACCACCCAATCCCTGTCTCGTTACAGGAAGTCACTGAATGGCTTCTAGCATAGGAAGCTGCTCCCCAAGCACTTCACTTTGAAATCATTCATAGATTATTTATTAAAAGCACACATGCTCTTTGCCATTTTATTCCTTTCATTCTCTTTCAGTTACCCAAGGAAAAACAGTTATCTCGTTAAATCATTTTACTAAATCAATCTAAAAATAGCCCAGTTGATGGACGACATACATAACATAGTAATGTATGATTCTCAGTAGTAATGAAAAACACTGATGAGGCTGGAAGCAAAATTAGCAAAGAATGTTAGGCTTCTAAATTTCTTTGATCAAAGACTTTAAAAGACTGTTTCATAATTTCTGTAAGTCTTTTTTTTTTTTTTTTTGGTACCAGGGATCAAACTCAGGACCTTGTGCTTGCGAGGCAGGTGGAGGCACTACTGAGCTAAATCCCCGGCCCTCTAAAAGTCTCTTTTGAAAGCCTCTAATTAAACCTACTGCTACCCAACTGTCACATCCAAGTCAGTATCTTTCTATTTACTGTTTTTCTCTTCTAATTGTTTTCTTCTTTTCAAAAAAATGTTGGCTACCTTAGGATTACTGTTTTCAAAAGTTAGCCTAGCAACATAATTATCTCACAAAGATTCACAGCAAAATTCCAAACAAATAAGTTGTTCAAATATTGCTTATTTTTAGTTGGCGGGGCTCGTTATGTATAAATGAGTTAAGGATTTTAAAGGATTGAGTCTCTGAAAAGAATAACGTAATTACAGGTTGGGGATGTAGCTCAGTGGCGCTGCGCCTGCCTTGCAAGTACCAGGTCCTGAGTTCAATCCCAGGTACCAGGGGGGGAAAAAAAGAATAACATAATTGCGAACCATTTTTGAATAGGAAAACATTTACAATAATAACAGAAGATTTAACACAGTGCTCAAACATTAACATTAGATCAGACCAAAATTTGAGTAAATTTCCCTACAACTGACCAGCTGTCTTTGGGAAAATTTTCCCAACAAAAAATGAGGGCACATAATAGTACAAATACTTCATGAGATCATTGAGAAGTAAATGACACAGTAATAGAGAATTTATCACAATACCTAGCACACTACCAACATTCAATGTTAGCGATCACTGTGAAACCACTGACTTGTACCTCGTTATGTTTCTATTACTGATGACAATTTTTTTCACTAGCACATACCTAATCAGTGATGCACATCTGATAAGTGATAGGCACATTCAAGACCAATGATCAAGCGAAAGCCTCCACACCCTGTCCGCTTCATAAAAAAGCTTAGCACATTAGGTTAAATAAAACTACGTGACGAATATCATCATCACTTCTGTGTCACACAGACATAAACATCCAGCATGTAAGAGTCCAGGTAAGGGTCCACTTTCTAAGGTCACATAAACCTGTTTGAGAATACCACTTCTGTCTCTTATTTATGCTGACCTTGAACTCAAACCTTGGTGCTGGTTATTTTCAGACCAGAGTATCAAAAGAAGAAACAAGATAAAGAATAAAATTATTATGATATATTAAAAATGATACAAAACATAAATTATAATAACTGTATAGCTAAAGTTTCAGGCATTAGTCTACCACAAAATCTCACAGTTTCCCAAGTCAACTGACTACTTATAAAACTATAATAGGTAACATTTGCTCAGCTATGTGCCAAGCATTATGCTACATCTTTTCCAGGGATTATTCTAGGCCTCACAGCAAGCCTATGAGACAAATTACTTTATCCTCACTGCATAAATGAGGACGCTGTAGAGAAGATAAACGTTGTATCTAAGATCTCTCGTAAGGGATCAGATGAAGAGTCAAAGCTGAAACTCGGGGAGTCTAAGTGTAGGGCCAAAATGCCATTCTGTCTCCTCAGCACCAACATGGGACAATCTTGGAGCACCCAAGTAAAACATGGTACATGCATCAGTGAAGCTGAGGAACAGCTTTAAATAGCACTCATATTCACAGTGAGAATCCCTTACTGACATATTTGGGCCCAGAGGTGTTCCAGATCTGAGATTTTTTTTTCAGATTCTAGAATTCTGCATGTATGTGAGATGTGCGGGGGTAGGCCCAAGTCTAACATGAAATTCACTCATGTTTCTTATACACCTTACCGCATACCCTGAAGGCCATTTTAGTGAATTTAGGGGAGGTAAATTCAGTGCAAATGCATTCTGACTGCAATCCATTACTGGAGGTCAGGTGCGGAATTTCCACTTATGGCGTCATGCTGCCTCTCAAAAGTTTTGGATTTTGGAGCATCTCAGATTTCCTATTTTTGGACTAGGTACATTTTGATCCTTATGAGACACAAGACAAGTGAGAGTTTTATGTAATATTATTCTGAACTAAAAACAAATGACCTAGAAGTTCAAATTCCTATCTCACCATTCATGTGCAAAAATCTTACTTTAGCAAGTGTTCTGCTATCACACATTTTATAATTGCATCTAATTTAAGTGTTTACTTTTTCGAGATGTTTTAAGTCTTTTTAAAAAAAATCACATGAAATGCCTCTTCAGCTCTCGCATTCATTTCACATTCCAAAGAAGAAACACTGTAGTTCACAAATACAGTGGACCCTCAAGTTACGACCAGCCTGACATACAAACAACTTGGGTTAACTAGGTTACTGGAAGATACATCTGCCTCTCGTCAGCTATAGCGTGTACCCAGGTAAACACCCAGATCTCAGCTGTACTGACTGAGTTACAACCAGCTCTTGAGAAACATGGTAAGTCAAGGGTCTACTGTAAATTTAAAAAATAAACACAAAAATTTTTTTAAAACACAGTATCTTTCTTTCTGAGACTCATTTATTGTTTCAAATCAAAGATAACAGAGCCAAGAATATCGCTCAATGGCACCATGCCTGCCTGGCAAGTCCAAAGTCCTGAGTTTGATCTCTGGTACCAAAAAAAAGATAACAGATTGGGGCAGACAATGTGGTACACATCTAAAATCCCAGAACTCTGGGAGGCTGAGGCAGAGGGATCGCAAGTTCAAGCCCAGCCTGGACAACTCAGGAACTTAGTGAGACCTTGTCTCAAAATTTAAAAAATAAAAAAGAGCTAGGGATGAAGCTCAGTGCAAAGGACCCGAGTTCAACCCTCCATATTGAATTTAAAAAAGAAAAAAAGATGACATTTCTACATAGGTCAAAACAGTTATCAACTGTCTTACAAACATTTTCTGTTTCAACCAGTTAATTATAAGTAACCAATTTCAATAGAATTGTGTTGTTGGGCTCGGGATTTTAGCTCAGTGGTTCCGTCACATGCCTTGCAAGCACAAGGACCCAAGTTTGACCCCCGGAACCAAAAAAAAAAACTGTGTTGTTAATAATTCAGGGTTCATACCCACTTACTAAAATAAAACTCTAGGCCTGCACTTCAAAACCTTTTCATCAGAATATATCATAAACTAATTTCCAACTTGTATCTTTCTTTTATTATCAGATTGGCATTGAAACTTAGATGGTCAAAAAGTTTCAGACTTCAGATTTTCAGTTAGGGAGACTCAACCAGTAAAGTCTGCAAATGTCACAAATTCAAAACACTGAAGCCTGAAACACTTCTGATCCCAAGCACTTTGGATAAGGGTTAACCAACCTAAACAACAATTTCGCTGAAACATACCACTTCTGTGGAAGTCAACTCACCTTTTCTGAATGCTATAAGCTTCTTAAAGCAAGAAATACTGTCTTTCTGTTCTCCATGAGCAACAGAAGAGCTAGCAATATCTTAAGACATAGGAGACTTGCAGACATTTACTACCTACTAGCAGTCATAAAGATAAGCATTTAAAAACAGCTTTTTGTTAACTTGAATTAAAATCTTTTTCACCTTTTTATTATGAAAATTTTCATATATACAGAAAAGAGGAAATAGTGCAATCACCTAGTACACCTTATAATTACACAGCAGTTAAAACTAGTTGAAATCTGAGATTCCTTTTTACACAAATATTAGAAAAAAGTATATATAATATTTGCTATACCATTGTTTAGTCACTATTCTTAAATATACATTGGCAAAACAAAGTTACACACTGAAAAGTATTTTCTCAATAGCTTAACTTTAAGCAAAGACTATGAAAAACAATTTTCTTTTGACATGGGTCTCCCCATGTAGTTGAGGCTGGTCTGACACTCACTGCGCAGTCCAAGCTAGCCTTGAACTTGCACTGATCCTCCTGTCTCAGCCTCCTCAGTGTTAGGAGTACAGGCCTGCACCACCACGCCCGGCAGAAATTATCCTAAAAACGGTAATACACATGCTCAACTTTGGCAGCACATATACCAAAAACTGGAATATTTAAGCAACAGAGGATGCTCCATTTGAAGG